AATTGATGTTTTAAAGAGAAGAGTAGTCGTCATTGGCCCGATTACTTGTATGATTGAAATATTTTGAAAAATACAATGGCAGAATTATTGCATGATATTTCTAAAGTTATAGTGTAATGCAACAAAACTTGAAATGGAAAATAAGTTGAAAGATTTAGTTTGAAAAGTAGACTCTCCAAACTTGAGTGGTTCCGTTAAACAGTTTATTCTCAACTAGTCTTGTAATGATGCCGTTGATCATGATATATTTCAAACTATTATATTAGTTAAAACTAGTGATCATTCTACTTGATTGAGAGTGGAAATTATGACAATTAACATTGGTCTTTTGTAAATATTTTGGGGCTCATTTGCAAAAGATCATATGTTTGTGTCAGAGCACAGAGTTAATTCCTAAAGCAGTGAGTTTTATGTACCGACTTAATAGTTTTGTTCAAACCAATATTTTTTATTTCTAGTTATCTAAAGTTATGACTTTAGCTGATTAAGACAAACATTATTGCCTCGAAGAAATACGTTGTAGCTGTATTATACACAAAATAAAAATACCTTTAAAGTAGAAAATTGAAAAAAAACATAGTTTTTTAAGCGCCTAATCTGTAAATATTGTAAATATGTAAATGTTACGTGATTGCACATACAAAAAGATAATTTTTTTCAAGTATGTTTTCATTCTTTGGCTATAACACTGCAATCTGTATGTAAAGTGTAGCAGATTTGTTCCAGTGGTTGTATACAGCATATTCTTGTTCTACATTGTGGTCCTTACAAGTATTGTTGACTTTTGTAATTATTGCTGACGTACGTTTTTGATAATGTAATAGTCGATATTGTAAATCTAAGTCTATATAACGTAAATTTCTGATGTGGGTAACTCAAGGAAATTATTTAGTTTCTCAAACAAAAGGTCCAAATCTCGGCCTGATGGTTAGCTTGCCGGACAGTTGATTTGATATGTCGTGGTTCTCGCCAAAAAGAAATATATGAATAAATGCACTCCGCACTTTGGGGCTGTGGATGCATAATAAGAGTGACGGTCAAATCCTGCTATTCGGTCTGACAGGAGTTGGCGGTGGGTGGTGTTGAGTAGTTGCCATCCCTCTAGTCTATCACTTCAAAATTAGGGACGGCTGGCAGGAGATAGATAGACTTCGAGTAGCTTTTCGTGAATTTCAACCAACAAACAATTTAAACCAATATGCCGAATTTTCACTAGTTTAATAGCTCTATATTGCTTAAGTAAAGTGGGTAGTAAGAGCTTGGATCACCATTAAACGAATATGATATTTGAAGAACGTAGATGGCATGGTTACGTTGTTTAACAGAGCATAATATGTAGTGTTAGAAATTGACCTAATAAAACAGTTTGGAAAATGTATTTTTACTTTTTTATATGTATTGTAAATGAAAACAACAAAACACTCACTAGTTACACATTTTTAAATAATGACAGAAACTGAGCTTAGAACATTGTATTCCTATTATTTATTTAACAACTAAAATTTGCTCCATATATTGAAAATTGAATTATATTAATTGATTTATATATATATATTGCAATGTTGAAATAATTTTTAAATATAAATATATATTGCAATGGCGAAATAATATATATTTATATATATATATATATATATAGTAATGGCGAAATAATATATATTTATATAGTAATGGTGAATTTCTGGTCTTAAATCCAAATT